TGTTATCTCTAGTTGGGAAGTAGTTTATTCAATTTCTAGGACAAAAAACACCATTTCCTCATTGAAGGTCCAAAACCCCATGGAGTAAAGTCATGCCTAGATCAAATTTTGGGCTCTACTATTTGAATAGCCATAGGTCTGTGAACAAGGTAATCTCTCTGAAGCTCCTTAAAACACAGAAATTACTTCCTTATGTATGTAACAGAACTGTTGAGTCTATGTCAATTAAATGCTTGCCTAGCAGGCTGTATATATACAAAGCCTGTAAAACACATTCTATTCCCTGAGCATGAAGCAACTGATTATGGGTTCCCATTTAACAATATAGTTTATCCTGTAAGAGGCACTGCTATATGAAGCTGTGAGCAACATGGATTAAGCCTGCAAAATCTTGCCATTGTAAATGCCCTCACTAAGGAAATCTTCAATATTAAAGCCTTGGGCCTAGAGTCTAGGAAAGAAAACATCAACTCAAGACACACAAAATCTTGGGAGTCACATTTGTTCATGTACATTTGAGTTAGTAGCCACTAGCAGTATTTGTCTGGAAACTTCTCAGTATTCTATAGCACTGAACTATCCAATACAGTAGTCTCATGTCATGTTTCTAAGTAAAAATTTAAGTCCAACTCTTCAGTCACACTAGCCACATCTCAAGGCTCAGTAACATGTCACTAGTCGCTATCATATTGCTCAATACATCATAAAACATTTCCATCATCATGACATTTTACTGATAGTACTACAGCTTTAACAGCTTACTTCGTTAAATAACAAGGGAATTTTTTCCCCTTCCTCTGTACCCACCAGATGACTCCCTAGGTTTTCTTCTTTACTGTGGGGCCTAGACTTCAAAGGTACACCTTGACCCTTCCAGCTGCCTTCAGTTCTTTGGTGAAAACATTATCAGTCACTTTGTCTTACTGCCCTTAATTCTCACATATACATGGTCATCTTTTTACTAAATTTATTAGCCAGCCACCTAGCCACGCTTTCTTGAAAGCCTTATGTCCTTTCCTGATCCTCACCGTTCTTTATCAAACAGGGTTGCTTCTCCCTCTTTGGTGCAGTGGTTCACAATTTGGGCCAAAAATTGGAATTATGGCAACTTGAAAAATGTATCAATGTCTGTATTATCTTTCCAATCTGGCTGTGTGAAGAAAAAGTTAAAAATTAAGAAAGTATCAAAGAGTCCCAATCCTAGAGATTTAATAGGCCTGGACCGTACCACCCTGAAACCCAGACTTAAAAGCCCATCCCCCAATCCCAGGAAACTTTCACAAAGTTGAAACCTACTAAATCCAAAAATTTGGTAATCAACTATAATCCATAAGCCACAATTTTTCTAGATTTGTTAAAGAACTGTATGAGTTATTTTCCCAAATGCAAACTTGTCGGCACTTCAGGGACATGTTTCTCACAACTTTCATTTCTGTGTGCCACTTGAAAAGAACAATCCAACATGTTTTCCTCTTCCAACTTCTTCCTACTAGTCCCTTTGTCAATTGGATTCACCCCATTACACCATTCTCCCCTTCGTCTGTTTTGTAGTTTTAACTCACAAAGGGCGTTAGTGCCAACACTCCTTTTAAAATCCCTGCTTTCCAAAATTGAGATTTCTTTCACTTGTGAAAGTTACTAATGCAAACAAAAATTCTGCAGTTTTCTACTTTAACTTTGTCTAACATTCGGAAAGTTTTTGTCTGGTTGGATACGTCTATGCTCACCTTTTACTCTGCAGTTTACATTTTTACTTTATACTAAGTTCCCTCCAAACACTACAATTCTCCAAGAGTGCTCCTTATTAGTGTGAAAGGTTCCTAAAAGATACTCAGACCGTAGTACAGGTATTAGATCTAACTCATTTACCAGTCAGTCATTTCTATGCTGTGTTTACTACTGTCTACTGGTCTTCTGGTCAGGGTACTTTTTCTTGGATGCTTCTAAATTCTAATGAAGTGCATTTTCTTGGTCAACGTGATCTGCACAAGGGTTCAGAAACCGAAACTCCATTTGACATCAGTATAGCTGAATTCTCATAATAAATAAATAGGTCAACTGTCAGTAGGAATGAATTTTTTCTGGTTCTCCCCAGTCAACGCTTTGTCAGGCCAGGCATATGTTCCTGAACTTCCAACTGAACTCATTAAACATACACAATTTCTTTATTCTGCTACCACTTCCACAAAGCACTTGTTTTATCAAGGTTACCTCAAAATACTAGTACTTGTAGTTTATCAACTGTTCTACTTCTGTATTTTCTGTATTATACACCAGGCTTTGCTCCTCCTAACTCCCTTGAATAAAACATACTGCCAAGTTATAGTAGATTCATGTGTTGACACTTCACGGTTATCTTATGGCTTAGGTTGCGTCAATTGTACTATTACATTCTTCCCAATCCTACTTTGACACAGTTCATTTCCTTCCAATTTACCACTTTTTTGTTCCAATTTATTTTCCTATTCTTTTACATCTAGTTCCCTCTGAAAAAGAGGCTTTAAGCGACACAACTAAGTAGTAACAACATGGTAAGTGAAATCTAAGAGTAGCCCTCTTTTCAAGAATCCCAAATTTATCCTCCATTCCCACCTTAGAGCTTTCCATTAGCTCATTCCACTGAGACAGCAGCAACTTAGTTAACTACTCAATGCAGAGTGCTCCAAACTTTCCCAATCATACATTATGCAGCATCAGAAAGAAATGTTACTATTTTTTGGTCATCCACTTCCTCTCCTGCTTTCTAACCCTGAAAGAAAATTGCATTCTTACATGATGACAGGGCAGTTCAGACTTCACAGCATGAGTAACGTGTTCTGAATTTTATTTTAAATTTTACTTCAACTAAATCGTGTAGGGCCCTTTAATCAGACTGTCAATCTGAAACCCCTCAATTATTACATCAGGACTCCCTCAATTACTACCCGACTCTACAATCATCGTATCTAACCCCTTTACCTATACTGTCATACCTACTATTCTATCATTTCTACTAAGCCAATTCCTTTTCTTACTTTGCAGGGCCCAGGGTTAAGTAATGTCACTGACTTATAAGTGTATCATCTGATAAATGGACTTTAAAAACATTAGCCCCTTTCCCAAAAAGCCTGTACTCTTCTGCATTGATCAGATTCTAAAAAGCATCTTACCAGATGGTGTATCAACCCTGGTCTCTATTTTGCTACAGTTTTGTCTAGGGACCTAAATGTCAAATTGTTAAATGAGTATAACTGGGATTATAGAAAACCTACTGTTGTCTTAAACACACAGTAGCCTTAAACCAAGACTGTGAAATCTTTTTTCTATCAAGACAAACTAGAAATGCTGGTATTCCAACAATAACCCTACCATGTGTGTGTAGATTTGTGACCGTTTCTCTAGCTATTTGCAAAAGTAATTGCGGCTAATTAAAAGTAATGGCAAAAACTACAATTACCTTTGTTTGTATCAACCTAATATTTAAAAGCGCTTTGCACAGCTTCTTTCAATACCTGCTTTACTACAAAATCAAATGTACAATTGGCCCTCCATGTTCATGGGTTCTGCATATGCAGATTCAACCAACTATAGATCAAAAATACTAAGAAAAACTAAAAGTTAACAAAAATACAAATAAAAAATACAGCTACAACTTTACATAGCATTTACATTTTATCAATTATATTTATCATGGTAGAGATGATTAAAAGTATACAGAATATGTGTAGGTTACATAGAAATATAGTATGCCATTATGCCATTTTATGTAAGTGACTAGAGTATCTGCAGGTTGTGGTATTCACAGCTAACAGACTGTTCTGTGTGGGTCCTACAAGTGAAGAGAAAAGCAGACAACTGATTCTGGACTAATTTGCAGCTAACAACATAATATTAAACAGGTTTTATTAGCATCTTACAAATCTGACACTCTCTCCTAAGCATCCAGTTTATTTTCTAGTCATGGGTTACTTACTAAAAGTTTGCGTAACATGAGCTGACATCAGATCAGAAAACATCAAGTGGGTAGTATTTCTCACTAAATTAACATACAAAAGGAATTGCCTTTATATCATGCATCTGAGCTCCAAGGGTAGTCCAGCCTCTTCCTTATATTCTGCTTTGTCACCTGTTATATAAAATAATCTATAAAATCCTTATAAGTAAGACATGAGTTTTACCTATAATGCATAGGATGAAAAAAGGCTAGTGCTGCATGCTATGAAACAATAGCAACTTTATAGGGGAATCCAAGGTTTGTGTCCACAAAAATTGTAAATGCCATTTTCTGCTGTGCTGGAAAAGCTGAAAAATAAATATGAACTAGGCCTTTCAAGGATGAGGTATCAACACTGGTAGCTGTTTAATATATTCGTCTTAAGACTGGATGCTAAAAACGCAGTAACTGCAATTAAAGTTGAAGGAAAACAAAAAGATTAGCTAAGATGGGTAAAAGATCATTTAGCGTAAAATAGATGTGTAACATTCTCTATGTTCTCAGTCACCTGGGAAGGCAGACTATGGAATATCAGGAAATTTTTTTTTTTCCAGTAACATGGAGGTTTCAGAATTCAGAAGGTAACTGGGGCTATAAATAATTTAAAGGACAAAGTAGAAGAAAGCAGGGGTTCCATTATGCAGCTGCTGGAATTTTCCTGAAACCTTATGTTTTTGAGCCTCTCCTATTTAAGGACAAAACAATTTAGCACACAACAAAAACCTCAAAAAGGGTACCAGCTGGACTACAAAGCACTAATGAAAAGCCAGAGGATATACTTCCCAAACTTTCATTAGGATGTAAAAGCCATTTTGAAAACAATCTCCACTTGATGTCAAGTTGACTCCTCAATGCAACATGCATCTCAATGAAATATAATTTGAGTAGTGTTATGTTGTTATGCATAATGATTATGACTCCAAGAAAAATACAGTGCATTCTAGGGGTTTTGTGGAGGACGCTAGTAAAACAAAGAGTTTAAAGTAAACAATAATAAAATACAAAAATAAAAACCAGGGTGATTTTACTCCAAATTCCTGGTTTAATAAGGACTTGTTTATTTTGAAGAAAAAAGGTCCCAAACATCAGGCTGTTCACAAAAATAACCCACAGTATCAACTTTAGAAAACAAATTTTAAGACTATAACACTATTTTTCTAGAGGATGCATTTGACATGCCAACTCTCATTCACAAAAATACATCGTTACATTTGTGTTGAACTGCCCCACACAGCACACTAATGTTGGGGTGTAACACACATACTTCTAACTCAAAGCTGCTTTCAGGAGCTACTCAACTAAATGAGATTGCCTTTGCAGTTAGGGAAGCAACTACTGAACATATGTATGAATGAAAAGAACTGTACTCCCTTCATAACAAGAGATTATTTTGGAGACAGTTGATAAAAACCATACATCCTTTTTATTGTTAAGTCATAAAGAGGTATCAAAATTAAAAGCAAAAATTACAGGGTAAGACTTAACAAAAACTACTAGGAGCGTCAAAGAAGTGAAAATGGGACTAGGCGCAGGGAAGTATGAATTAATGAACATGGGAAGGACAAGGATGGGGAGAACAGTGAGCATGTGCTGAAGATACTAGGGGAGAGGATCTGGTGAAAAATTTGATCTTAGACAAGCGCCTAGGTAAAGAAATAATGGGATAAGATTTCTAAACCCCACTATGTGCTTAAGAGTCATCCTCGCCATTGGCGCTGTCTCTGTCATCCTCTCCTTCCTCAGCCTCTTTTTCATCATCCTTGATCAACTCCAGCTGTGAGAAACAGACACAAATAGGATGGAGTTAGAGGCACTCCATGTGTCCCTGAGCCCCCCTCCACCACCTTTTTCTTTCCTTTCCCGTGGTTTTCACCTGGTCATCCCCCCGATCTTCATTATCATCATCATCCAGTAGGTCCCCCTCCTCAGCAGAGTCATCTGCACCCCCCTCAGACTCCATCTTCACATTAGTCTCATCTTTCTTCACGGAGCTGCTGCTCTGCTCCTCTTCTGACTTATCATTCTTCATCTCTACTGGGGATGAGAAGGACAAGTCTGTCTAGGGGCAGTTATGTCCACAGGATGTAGACAATGCCCACTAAGGATCACAGAACTGCAGCACAAATCTAAATCCTCCCACACAAATGCCTTTCCCAATTCACACTTCCCAAGTTTTATATTAAATTAGTTTATATTCCACTATTCAAACATATTCTTTCAACTGCCTTATGTTACTAGCCCAACTGTATACCCAACAAGCAGAAAACCCATTTACCTGCTTGTTTGCTCTGTTCCTTTTCAATTTTTTCCAGGTTTTCCAGGAGAGAATCCACTTTTTGTTTTATCTGGGTCAGCTCCTTCTTAATGGCCTGAAGGTCATCTCCTTTCACTTTAATATAAACAAAATCCTGGATTAATATCAATTGTACTAGAAGATACGAGTTAGCAGATACATTCACACTAGACTATACCCGGAGCTTACAGAAGTTCCCCACGGAAAGACAAAGCCACTAAAGACTTCCCAGTAACAAAGGGCCTTGATTTTGTTTGCCAAAAACCTTGATTCTATTATAAAGTACTTTCTGTAATGGTTGTTTTGTTTTAATGTCTTTTAGATCTGGGCTCTCACTACGTTGCCCAGGCCTGAGTGCAGTGACCATGTACAAATAATGATCATAGGGCACTCCAGTCTCAAACATTAGGCCTCATGCAATCCTCCTACCACAGCCTAGATCCCGGCTGTCTTAGCCTCCTCCGAAGCATCTGATACAGACATGTGCCACTGCATCAGACCTTCTGTAATGTTTTACTGCTTTCCACATTTCCAGTTACAGGAGGAGTTTGGCCACTGAATCACAATCCTGTCTCTTCCATCACTCTGGATTAATTTTTTCTAAGATGGAGTTTGGCTCTTGTCACCTGGGCTGGAGTGCAATGGCATGATCTTGGCTCAGTGCAACCTCTGCCTCACTGGTTCAAGCGATTCTCCTGCCTCAGTCTCCCAAGTAGCTGGAATTATATGCATGCACCACCACGCCCAGCTAATTTTTTTTTGTATTTTCACTAGAGACAGGGTTTTGCCACATTGGGCCAGGCTGGTCTCAAACTCCTGACCTCAGGTGATCCACCTTATTTGGCCTCCCAAAGTGCTGGTATTACAAGCGTTGAGCCACCATACCCAGTGTCTTCCATCATTTTGAATACATAAAGCCATGTAGCACAAAAATACTAGAACTGCATTAGCTTCCCTATTTCAAAACACGAGATATCAAAATCACAAAACAATACATACACTTGCCAGACTTGGAAGATCCCCGCTGTCCACTCTTAGAATTGAAGCCACTTTTGCCCCTTCGTGAGGTGTTTCCTGATACACGCTGACGTTTCGAGGGCACTACAGCCCGAGCAATAGGAGGAGGAGGAGGTACACGTGCTGGATAACTGTACATCCTATTGGACAAAAGGAAAATAAAGTTCATTCAAAGGTAACATTAACAGTATAACTCAATGCACCTTATCATACATAACATCCATTCTCTCTCAGTTGTTTCATTTTACTAAATTTCATTAAGAAGGCCAGCAAAAAACTCCATGACTTGATAAAATACATATATCAAATTGTATGCTTGGCTGGCCTTTAGCACTGGATATAAATAGTTCCTCTGTACTAATGGCAGTATTAACACAGCATTTTTAAAATAATGACCAGCCTTTGTTTTATGTTATTCTTTTCCTATATACAGTACAATAAATAATTCACATAAGGTCAAATACTCTTACAAAAAGATTCCAATTAACTGGGTATATAAACAGAGGTATTTAGCATTAACCAAATCCCTGATCTTTTCACCCACAGAAGCACACAAATTATTACACCTAGTGATATAAACCATGTAAAAACTGTGAGTGTGGATCATTTCTGACCTATAAAAACCAGGGCAATTTCATGAAACTGAGCAAATCGTAGCAAAATGTATTGGGGCTAGGTATAAATACCACTGATATAAAATATCTCATAAAAAAAATTAGTATCATTTCTAACTAAATTTATGCTTAATTACAACAGGACAGAGCCCGCTGTCCATCTTGTTCACTATTCACCAGTGTCTAAAATTCATCGGCCAGTACACACTACACACTTAGCACTCAAACACTGGTTACTCAACTAAATGCTTGTTTCTAATTCTTAATTTCAAATATCTTATAATAATAAACTTACTGCCCCAGTGATTGATAAAGATACACCAAAGTGGTGGCTCGTAGACTCTTACATTTGTAAAGAGAAAATTCAAAACCGAACAAAATAGTTCTTACATGGACATCAGTTCTAGACTTTCTACATTCCACATTGTCATTTCTAAATAAGAGCCTACAGCAACGTATAAAAAGGTCTTTTAATTCTAGCCATACAAGAAATGCAGCCAACTTAAAACATAGGCCAATGTACTCTATAAAAATAAACCTACCAACTGCTCGAACTCCAAAGATTTCTTAAAAAACAAATGTGATATAGTAAAGAACGTTAAAATTTTATAATTCTCCTGCTTATCAACAGTGGTGAGTTTTTGGAGTTATATAAGGTCTCCAATCTTCCTGTAGTGAAAACATTTACAAAAACTCATTGCTAATTCTCTCCCTGTCAACCTAAAGTGTTTCAGTACTATTTTAACAAAGTAATATTTAATCTCTTCTTGGGAGAGCCTATGAACAGTAACATTTTCCTAAGTTAACAGGGAGCAAGGAACATGACTGCACCACTGCAATGGAACCTGGGGAAAGAATAACTTGGTCTCCAAAAAAAAAAAGGTATTAATTATATAGTTAATCTGTTAGTTTAATCCATTCATGGGAATAAACACAAAGAAAAAGATACTAAGTAACTTTTTATTATCACTACTACCTTCACATTTTGACATAAAGCTTTTGGTCTTTTTGACCAAAATCTTCAAAGTAAAATGATACAGAAACTATAAACTATCAGTGTTTAGAAACCACATCTTTTGTGCAAGTGTTATCTTGCACAAAACCAAACTACATAAAGACGATTTCTGTAGGTAAATCAAAATGATTTATTGATAACCATGAGCATTAAACTGAGCTTAAGCCCCAGTCCAATTGGATATAAATACCTAATCTAATGCCTAAGCCACTAACCCTCACTGGCATCTATATCTAAACCAACGAGCTAGCTAACTAAACTAGTTCCATACTGTCACTGGAATTTCCTTTTAAAATATATTATTTCATCTGACCATAACCAAAATGAAGTAATACAGTTTTTTGTTCTAAATCTGTAACAGAACCATCAACAGTTAGGAGTCAAATTCTTTACTTTTCTTCAGAAAAGTATTTTCAATATATTTCAGCCAATAGGGTTGAAAGGGCTTTTAGTTACACAAAATGCTGCTCAGGCAGAAATGGACTCTCTCTCACATCTGAGGAAGTAGTGCTTGCCTCAAAAAATGAAGAGGATGAGTGTGAAAACAGTATTTAAAAAAAAAAGTGTAGTAACTTTGAAGGTAAAAGGGATACATATTAAGCTCAGTATGACTGCTTCAAGCAGCAGCTAAAAAGTAGCAATTCTCAGTATGAGAAAGCTATACAATAAATCACAAGGCAACAATAGGTGCTAATTCCTTGCTGATTAAGCCTAAAGTCTTCTACCAGAGGAACAAGGACTAAACTCTAGGAGGATTATAACTGCACCCAAAATCAGACTGGATTCTAAGTATTGGTATAAAATTTGGTAAGATTAAAAGTAACTACCACTTGAAATAAAACATTCTAGAGACATCAATTACCTGAACAAACTAAGACAAAACACACCAGCCAGGCATGGTGGCTCATAAGGTTGAGTTTGAGACCACCCTGATCAACATGGTGAAACCAGATTTCACTAAAAATACAAAAACTAGCTTGGGTGTACTGGCACCCACCTGTAATCCCAGCTACTCAGGAGGCTGAGGCAGGAAATTGCTTGAACCTGGGAGGCAGAGACTGCAGTGACCCAAGACAGCCACACTGCATTCCAGCTTTGGAGAAAGAGCAAGACTCCACCCCACTCCCAAAAAGACAAAACATACCACCTGGATGCAGAAGCAGGTCTGTAATGCCAGCATGTGGGGAGGCTGAGGCAGGCGGATCATTTGAGGTCAGCAGTTTGAGACCAGCGTGCCCAACATGGTGAAACCCCAATCTCTACTAACAATACAAAAATCAGTGGGTGTAGTGACATACACCTGCAATCCCAGCTACTTAGGAGGCTGTGGCACAAGAGATGCTTGAACTCAAGAGGCAGAGGTTGCAGCGTGCCACTGCACTCCAGCCTGAGCGACAGAATAAAACTTAGTCTCTCAAAAAATAAGAATAAAAAATGAAGACAAAAAAGTCTACCACAATCTCCAAAGTAAAAACATTACAAGACACTTAATAAAGGCAAGTTTTCAAAGGAAGCTTCTTAAATGAATATTCTGACCATAAGACATGAGGTGTTAACATAGTGTCATTTCCTGGGTCTCAAAAAACCTAATACATGTCAATTCTACACAAGAATAGAAGAACACGAAAAGTTAACCTATTAATAAAACTGACATCTGGTAAATGAAGATATTTAATAATTCTTGTCTTTAAAATGTGAACAGATTAAAATAGTCTGTTTTGCCTAACTGGGTGGCTCATGCCTGTAATCCCTGCACTTTGGGAGGATAAGTTGGGCAGCTACTTTGAGGCCAACAATTGGAGACCAGCTGGACCAACATGATGAAACCCCGTCTCTACTAAAAATTAAAAAAAAATTAGCCAGGTGTGGTGGCCCATGCCTGTAATCCAAGCTACTGAGGTGGCTGAAGGACGAGAATCACTTGAACCCCAGAGGCGGAGGTCAAAATGAGCCAAGATCGCACCACTGCACTCCAGCCTGGTTAAAGGGGCAAGACTCTGTCTCAAAACAAAACTTAAGAGGGCCGAAGTAGTTTTTCCCATTCTAGCTCCAGTAAGTACTAAATGAACTAACGATTGATGAGAGCCATCTATCTCAAACCCTTAACTGATATAAAAAAGTTTAAGTTTACATAAATATAGGCTGGGCATGGTAGCTGAACACCTGTAATCCCAGCACTTTGGAGGCTGAGGCGGAAGGATCACAAGGCCAGGAGTTCAAGATAAGCCTGATCAACATGGTGAAACCCCATCTCCACTAAAAAAAAAAACAAAAATTAGCCGGGCAGAGTGGCATGCACCTGTAATCCCAGCTACTCTGGAAGCTGAGGCAGGAGAATAGCTTGAACTCAGGAGGCAGAGGTTGCGGTCAGCCAAGATTGTGTCAACTAGGCCAGGTGGTGGCTCACACCTATAATCCCAGCACTTGTGGGAGGCTGAGGCGGGCTGATCACGAGGTCAAGAGATCGAGATCACCCTGACCAACGTGGTGAAACCCCATCTCTACTAAAAATACAAAACTTAGGTGTGTTGGCATGCGCCGGTAATCCCAGCTGCTCAGGAGGCTGAGGCAGGAGAATTGCCTGAACCCAGGAGGCAGATGTTGCAGTGAGCCAAGATCGCGCCACTGCACTCCAGCCTGAGGGACTGAGTGAGACTCTGTCTCAAAAAATATATATATAGATAGATCACCAGCGAAGTTTTTGTAGCTTATGTTTTATTTCTAAACTGAAGAGAGATGATTTCTAATGTTATTTGCCGAGTACTTTACCACAAACATGTTGTCTGGGCGAGTCAAGTACCAGTTAAACTGGATACTATCAACTGCAACCACCACTCACTGGAGCTATACAATATACAAGGTCATTCACCACATGGGGAAACCCTAACATAAACAAAATGTAATTCTGGTTACTGAGGGGGAAAAAATGGAAACAGGTTACTACCACATTGTTGGTTAACCTTGTCCAAAGGTCACTGATATGCGTTAACAAAACATACATCCCTACTGAAAAGAAAAGGTATCTACAACTCCTATATTGAGCCAATGGCATCAATCAATAATTGGTTCTGTAATATTCTATCAGAAAGAGTTAAAATATTAGTCTTTAGGAATATTTTTGCATATTCTAAGACATCTCATTGAAAATGGTTCCACTGACTACTTGGAAAGAGGAAACAAATACATTAAATACACATGCTTATTTTAAGAAGTAAAATCTGACATTTTAAAATATTAAAAGTTGCATATTAAGGGGAAAAAATGTTGTCTTTATGGTTTCACTCGGAAACCAACTTCACATAAAACTAGACATTTCATGGGAAGACAATTTGAAAAGGCAACTGAAAACTTTGAGTCAAAAAGAATCTAGTCTATAAAATGCAGGTTGCCCGAGTCCTAGATCCATCCTCAATTCAGAAACCTGACTGGATCCAAGTCTGCTTAGGGGGAAAAAAATCCCTAGATTTGCTTCTGTATATGCCTCAGCCTCCGAAGTAACTTGGATTAAAGG